AGAGAGAGAGAGAGAGAGAGAGTGCGAGTGGGGGAGGGGCAGAGCGAGGGAGACACAGAATCTGGAGCAGGCTCCAGGTTCTCCTCCTAGGCAGGGTTTCCCTGCCTGTGGCCTTAAGGTGGTTTCTCTGTGGTCAGAGCCACAGCTGCAGAGGGCTCTCCAGGCTGGGTGGTGGTGATGGTGAACTGGGGTCATGTCTGTAAGATGAAATGAAGTGAAGCCTTCACTTCCTGGGGGCTCCCCCTGCACCCCTGTCCTTCCTGGCAGTATTTAGCGTTTGTCACCATGACAAATGGAAGGGCAGGATTGCCAAAACCCGAGCAGCTGAGCAAAGCTGCCGTGCCCAGGAGACCCATCTCTGTGTGTTTCTGTACCTGCCCACCATGACACCTGCCCTGGGGACCCAAGGCTGCGACATATCCCGTGCTGCCAGGCTTCAGCCAGCTTTCCTGTTCCTTTGAAATCTGGTGAAAGTGAGCAGCAGGGCACAGTGGTCTCCAGAGAGAAGAGAACACAAAGGGGGCGGGTAGGTGGGATGTGTGTGGGGTGGGGAAGGAAGTGGGTCCCAGCGGTGGGTCCTGGCAGAGGGATCACGGTCTGGCCCTAGAGTGTAAGACCCCAGTCTTGCTTAACCACCAGCTGCGGGAACCACTGCCTCCTGTTTTGTGGTTGCTTACAAGGAAAAAACAAAAAACAAAACCTGACCTTTCCAGATGCACCTGGTTTTCCAGACCCTAAGTTGGAATGGGGGTATGATGTCCTACAGGGGCCTCAAAAGAATCCAAGCACGATCTGTCTTGCATTATCTCTTGGGTGTGAGCTTGCCTTGTTTGTGTTTGCTGTTGTCAACATCGTGCAGGAAGCTGTTCCTAAGTCAGAAGCAACGAATACAGGAAATATGAGCATCTGAGCCTCTCCCTGTTGCTTTGTTTCTTCTTGTCTAGGTGGGAAGCAATGACTTGACCCTTGTGAACCTTCACCTGGCATCCATGGTCCTCCCAGGGGGCGACAATCCAAGCAGGAATCACAGTGACAGCCACCGCTTGGCTACCTTTGCACAGACCTTGCAGGAAACCCTGAAAGGTAGGAGATTGTCTTTATCCTCGGCTGGGCCGACAAGTCCCACTTCTGCAGGGGGCAGACAGGGGGCTGCCTCTTCGGAGCATCCCTCCGATCCCTTAGGCTGACAGGGCTGTCAGCAGCAGTGCATGCTGGGGGCACAGAAGACCGTCTGTCACAGCCCCTGCGTCTCGTGGAGCCCAGCCACCCCTGTACATGGTGACACCTCCGTCTCTGGGCCTACCATGCACACTCCACACTGTCAGCTTTGGGGCTTTTCAGCCTCTCTTTGATGGAAAGGATTAAGGGGGAAAAAAGTGACGACACCCTCCCCCGTGACAAGTCCTCCTGCGTTCAGCTGCTGCTGTGGTGATGCCACCTGCAGATTGGCACGTGCTCGTCTTGTGAAGGAAAGACAGTTGGTGACTGGGAAAGTCCTGATTAGCACAAGGTAGATTTTTTCTCCCTGCTGGGATGCAGATCAGCCCGGAGCTCTCAGAAAACCCACATTTAATCTTGGCTCCTTCAGTCGCTGTAGGACCTCAGGGAAATCACCACACTACTTGTAGCCCGTCCAGTCAGGTACTGGCCAGCGCTCGCCTCAACAGGGGCGGCTGGGGAGGCGTGGTGGTGATCTGTGGATGTACCGGGCACACAGTGAGGGCTCAGCGGACACGAGCTGACTCAAAACATACCAGAGGTTTGAGAGAGCAGTGAAAAGAGCAGAGCTTCAGTAGGAAGTGGGCTCTCTGTTTCCAGGCTCTGCCGCAGCAATACAGAAAATTTCCCCTGTGCAGGGTTGACCAGAAGGAAGAGTTAACGCTGCTGTAAAGACTGGGCTTTTTGGCTGGACTTTTCAGAGCCCTGCCCTTCTCTAGGTGGGCGTTTACAGCCAGAGGCCCAGAATTGTCTTAACGTGTTCTTGAGTTTTCACCAATAGTCTCTAGTTTTCTAAGCCTTGTCCATGTTAGATTGGCCCCTCACAGGGGTGACTCGTGAGAATTCGGCTATAAAAATAATTTGGTCAAATTAGAGCTTTACATTTGAAAAAGACTTTTTGATTGTAGTAAAACATACGTAACAGACACTTCCCATTTACCGTTTTTTTAAAGCGTTTGGTGGCAGTACGTACATTTACATGGTTTTACAACCATGATGTCCATCCGTCTGCAAGACTTCTTCATCTTCCCAAACCGAAACTCTGTGCCCATTCAACACGAGCTCCCCACCGCCTCCTTCCCCAGCCCCCAGCAGCCACCCTTCTACTCTCTGTCTCTATGAATTGGAGCACTCTAGGTACCTCGTACAAATGGAGTCATGCGGTATTTGTCCTCTCGTGGCTGGCTTACTTCACTTATATCGTGTCTTTATGGTTCATCCATGTTGTAGTATGTGTCACAATTTCCTTCCATTTTGGGCGCCTGGGTGGCTCGGTCGTTAAGCATCTGACTTTGGCTCGGGTCATGATCTCACTGTTCGTGAGTTTGGGCCCCACATCAGGTGAGTGTGAGCCCCGCTTCAGGCGAGCCCCTAATAGAAGCTTCTCTATCTCTTTCTCTCTCTCTCTCTCTCTGCCCCTTGCTCACATGCACATGCTCTCTCTCTCTCTCTCTCAAAAAAAAAATCCTTCCTTTTTAAGGCCAAATACTGTTCTGTTGTGTATATATACTGCATTTTGTTTATCCATTCATTGGTCGGTGAATACCTGGTTTCCATCTTTTGGCTGTTGTGAATAATGCTGCTGTGGATGTTGATAGGCAACTTACATTGTGAACCAGGATGTGCTGTGACTAGCATTCTACTTAAATCAGGGGTCTTCAGGCTAAAGGAAAAGTCACTAAGATGTCTAAGCTGAGATACTCCATCCAAGAAGCAGCTCTGTGGGAAATTGTTCACCCACAGCTTGTCTCTAGCCTATTAAAAAGATGACTTCATAGCCTTTAAAATCTGTGGACGTTTCTGTTCTTGACCTCAAGCTTTTCCTTGTCTATACACGGAAGCAGAAAAAAAAAGATGCCAGTTCATAACTTCTCTGATAACATCTCACTGTTTTTTCTGACATCCAGAGCGCGGTCAGGTTTTCATTCCAAGTTGCCAAGGGACTGTTGACCCATAGCCCGGCTCGCCTTGACTTGTCCGGGTATGGACAGTGACTCATGTTCCCAGTGCCCTTGTGCTTATAACTAATATCCAGTTGTTAACTGGTGACACAGCAGACCCAAGGGTTCAGGAAGTTCTCGAGCGTGCCCAAGGTGCAAGGGCAAATTGATTATTAGCAGACGTGGCTGAGCTAAAACAAAGACTAAGCTTTTATTCCACAGCTATCAGAGCAAACAGAGCCAATTTGATTAGCGAACTCTGGGCCTTTCTGCCTTTGTCTGGAATGCGCATCTGGGTTGACCTCAGCGTGTGGTGTGCCAGTCCTCTGATGAGATGGCTTTCTTTCAGACCCCCCTGGGGCTCTCTCTGTGAACTCAGCGTGAAACAGGGTGCATAGTATGGCTTGGCATCTGGGTAGGACTATCCCTCAGTGGCGACCAGCTCCTGCTATTGTCACTGGCGTCCTGTAAATCTAGGAACTATCTGAGGAAGTCAGCCCCAAGCATCCTCCCTGCCGCTCCTGGGAACTAAGGATCCCATCCCAGGCGGATGGCTTTTTAGGAGAATTCAGGCCTCTGTGCACCTGTGGATTCTCGGAGGCAACGACTGTGCTTGCTGCCAGCACAGAGCCCAACGTGGTGCTTGAACCCACAAAGCCGAGAGACCTGAGCCGAAACGCAAGAGTCAGATGTGTAACTGTTCGAGCCACCCAGACGCCCCATCACAGAGAGCAATTTAACCAAAAGCAGATGAGTTGTGAGAGACCTGGATGTGCGCATTCAGAAAGAGCTGTGGTGTTGTCATTCCTGAAGTGACACGGAGCTGTGTCTGCTGACCTCTGACACCAGCATCTCTCCTGGTTTCAGAATCGCTTTTGGCCCAAACTTTTTCGGGTCTGCGTCCCAATGAAAACGTGTCTCGTTATATGGGAACGTCCTGCCTCATTTCTCCTAACCTTCAGCTTTTCTTGTTATTTAGTAAATATAGCATCCTTGTCTTTTCTCCTTTCAAAAAGTACACCTTAATTCTGGGGGCTTTCCTCATGCCTCATTCACCCATTTGTACCATACGTGCTTATCGCCGTGCAGCAGGCACTGTTCCAGGCACATGGGGTTTTGTGATGAACAGCCGCCCACGTCCTCATGGCTCTCGCATTCTAGCCCTTTATGAAGAGCCGTGAGCTTGAGGGCTGGCAAGCCACTCAGTCTCTCAGAGACTTAGCTTCTTACCTGTGGAGAAGGTCCAATACCAGGTGAAGCCTCATGGATGGCCAGGATGAAGGCTCATGGATGGCCTTAGCACTGGCCAGGTAGGAGTTGTTCATTTTATTCTCAAGTCTGCTTTCCTGTTGAAGTTGGCACTGATTTCTCAAGTCATGTTGAGATGTTGTTGACATACAGCCTAGAGGTACCATTACATCTCTGTAGGCCACAGGTGGAACCCCAGGAGGGTCTTCCATCACACCCCCTTTTGTCCCTCATGGTCCCCAGAGCGGGTGTCATCTGCAGTGTACGAGTGCCCTCTGCTGGTGGCTTTTGTCATTTCACTTCAGATTTCTTTGCCTCTAGCCATTATTGCTGAAACACGTTGGTGTCCCGGAGAAAGACTTCCTGCAGGTCTCGGATACCTTGGGCTCTTGTTTATGAATTGCCTTTCTTAAAGACTCCCTTGAAAGCTAGGACAGACACCCTGCTAGCCACGATAATGTGGCTCCCCTGAAGGGAATCTCGAGACGGCAGAAGTGTGGGAATCCCAGAGCCTAGCTGGGGTCCACTGTCCTCTCAGAATGTCTGCTCCCTCCGGGAAGTACTTTGTGATGACTCAGTACTTCGTGATGATTAAGTTGCTTTAGTGAACATCAAACAATGGTAGAAATGTTGAAAATAAGGGGAAAAACCTCTCACTCTGGCCCTGTATTAGTCTGCTAGCACTACCATGACAAAATACTATATACTGGGTGGCTTTGACAATAGGAATGTATTTCTTCACAGTTCTGGAGGTTGGAAGTCTGAGATCAAGGTGTCAGAGGGATGATTTCCTTGACTTGTAGATGGCCACCCTCTTGTATTACTTGCATGTTTTTTCCCCCACTGTGCCCAATAAATGTTTTTTCCAGCTCTTGTTAAATATCTGGACAAGACCCTCAGGCTTTTTCTGCCATGAGATTTGGAACACCTGAGCTGGAACAGAGGCGATCTCTGCTTCACGTATCTTTCCTTTTCCAAACGGGTTACAAACCTACTCTTAAACTTTTGCGCGTATTTTGGTTTTATGTTTGTTTATTGTACGCGGTATTGGGAAAAATTGGAAGAATGAGAACCATATGCATTCCTAACCCTGGGGAGTCCAATCAGAGAATCAGGATCCCACTTAGTGGGTTATAGACAATATTGGGTTTACCTCCCACAACCTCTTAAATACCTGATTTTCTTTGTTCTACCTCCAGGAGAAAAAGATATGATTGTTTTAGGAGATTTTGGCCAGGGACCTGACAGCAGTGACTATGATATCTTAAGGAAAGAAAAATTCTACCACCTGGTCCCTGCACACACCTTCACCAACATCAGCACCAAGAACCCCCAAGGCTCAAAGTCTTTGGACAACATCTGGATCAGTAAAAGCTTAAAGAAGGTTTTCACAGGTAAAGCAGAAGTCACTCGTTCTTTTTCCTGTTCAGAAATGGTGTAAGAGAGACCCATCTGAACTCATAGTTCCAGGTCCTTTGGTTTGATAACTCTGGTCAGGAGTTCTTACCGCCTCCGTGGGCATTGACAGGATTATGTATAGTTTAGGTGCCTGTATAATTATCATTCAAACAGAGCCACTTTTAAGGGCTAAGAGGGGCTGTGAAAAATAATGAAGAGGCATTCACTGATCTTCAGGAGTGGCAAACTGACTGTGTCTCAGGCAAACCTGTTTCTAGGCCAGCAGGGTACCAATTCAGAGATGAGCTGATAGCTTACTTTAATTTAAGGACACTCAGTCATTTAGCAGACACTCCTTAAGCACCATAACATTCAGGCACCGTGCTGTGGCCTGAGGCTTCCTGCCGCACTGTCTGGGCGAGGGACAGCCACTGAGGATGAGCAGACATGTCTCAGAGCGTCACGGTAGGACAGGGGACATGCTTCTCACAGACTGTATGAGGATCAGGGTGTGGTAGGGAATCTGAGTGCCGCAACGCAGCCCCCGACCGAGTCTGCTGAGCAGACTTTGGGTCAGGAAGCAATCGGTCGGAAATACGACAGTGACAGTAAGGTTTTTTGATGAATGGCGAGAACAGTGGTCCTCAATCCTGCCTGGTTGTTTCACTCAGTCCCAACGTGTTACACATATTATACTTCAGGGAGACATTCCACATTGGTGAAAGTGCAATTCTGGGGTCGCCTCTGTAGAAGCCTAACGGGCAGCCAGGGCTGAGATCTTCTCACCAGTCCGGACTGTGTCACCAGTTTCTACCTCTGTCTGGGTGCCGGTTGCCTGTTGGACTGTGTCGGGGAGGATCTGAAGGACGAGGGAAGCGGGTCTCAGGGGGAGTGACCGTCCTCACACTAGGCGAGATGCAGCTTGCAGAAAATGTGCGGTGGGCCGGAGAGCGGCCACAGCCTGCCCAGCTGCCAGGAGGTGCCTGCAGAGAGCAGCTCTCATCGGGAGAGCTGGACAGTTGAGAACACAGGGCCAGAAGGAAGGTAGGAATCATTTCATCTGTCCCCTTGCTGCGAAGCTAGAGACGAAGGTACAGGGAAGAGTGGCCACCATCATGGAAATGTCACGTGGGCAGGCCGTGGCTCAGCCCAGACCTGTTCGCGCTTCCACTAACGTGACCTCGCTTCTCACTGGAGGTCTCTGGCCGTGCTCCCTCACTACGCTCGCTTCTGTAACTATTCTGTTAACTATTCTGTTACTGTTTGTGTTTTTGTTTTTTTAGTTTTTTTGTAATGTTTGAGAGAGAGAGACAGGGCACGAGCGGAGGAGGGGAAGAGAGAGGAAGACACAGAATCCAAAGGAAGCTCCAGGCTCCAGCTGTCAGCACAGCTCAAACTCACGAACTGCCCTGAGATCATGACCTGAACCGAAGTTGGACGCTTAACTGGCTGAGCCACCCAGGCGCCCCTCACTGTTTTTCAAATATACTTGTGCTTTATATGTTTCTAAAGCATTAGAGTTTTTTTTTTTAATTTTTTTAATGTTTGTTTATTTTTGAGAGGGACAAGGGTGAGCAGGGGAGGGGCAGAGAGAGAAACACAGAATCTGAAGCAGGCTCCAGGCTCTGAGCTGTCTGCACAGAGCCTGATGCAGGGCTTGAACTCATGAACCATGAGATCATGACCTGAACCAAAGTCGGACGCTTAACTGACTGAGCCACCCAGGCACCCCCTAAAGCATTATTTTAAGATACTTTTACTTGCTCATAAGCCTCTGGAAGAACTTTTTCCTTTTTACTCTTTCCTGTAGAACTCCATCACCTCCCTCCCCCACTTACTGCCTTTGCTTTGTGAAATAAAACTTTCACTTTGGACATCTTTGAGAGATATTTGACCTTACGTCAAATATATTTACTCTTGCTGCTCAGATTAGAAAGGGTGTATAGTGAGGAGGAGGTCAACCATAGGCCGATACGTGAATGGGCGGGAGGCCTAGACTCGGAGGGTGTGTGTGGGGGGGGTGTTCAGTACCTACATGGTAAGCCCTCACTTGTCCAGGAAACCAAATTGGCTGGAACATTTTGTTTGCACAGGCAAGCTGGTTATCTGAGGAGTATCGCCAGGGAATCCTGACTTTGCAGACATTGAACAGAGGCCTCTTCTTGCCAGCCGGGACCCCACCCAGCCCCAGGCCTCATCTCTGCGTCTCTTTTCCCTCTGTCTCTCCAGGTCACTGGGCTGTAGTGAGAGAAGGTCTCACGAACCCTTGGATTCCAGATAACTGGTCCTGGGGAGGAGTGGCTTCTGAGCACTGCCCCGTGCTAGCCGAATTTTACACTGAAAAGGATTGGAACAAGAAGGAATGCCCTCGGAATGGCAACGGGGTCACTTTGGAGCGAAGCGAAGCCAACATTAAACACGAGCGATGATGGCACCAAATCTGTTTTTTCACCTGTGACCCGGAAGGCCCGGGCAGGGAGTTCGCCCTTCCAGGTGAAGACGAGGACTCAGAACTTTGTCTCAGTCTTCATCCTAACAACACTAGCACCTGGGCCTCAACCTGCCTGCCTTCTTTGTGGACATTTTTGGACCCCTAATGGGGGAGGGAGGTACCGGATGGTCAAATCGGAAGCACAGTGGGGAACTAAGATGGCTTCTAACGTGTGGATGCCATCCACCTCAGCAGACTCGGGCTGGCCAGCTGCCGCCCTGGGTGGCAGCATACAGAGGACAGTAGTGGGGCTGACAGGGCAAGAGAGGGCCGTCTCAGGCTGCCAGGCCCTGTCCGAGCAATGCCAGAAGCTCTCCTTTCTGACCACCAGTCCATGATGCTCTGGCTGCAAATTACATAAAGCTTTTAACTGTGATTGAGCTGAGCACTCTCCTCACATATTTTGAGTGGTGATTTTTAGTTTTGTTCTGAAAAAAATAAACAGAGATGAACATGCCTGGTTGCAGTGAGAGTCCTGGGGGAAGGGGCCGGGTGCTCCCTGGCCCGGGTGTTTTGTGCCCACTCCCGTGCCTCTGTGACACCGTCATCCGGGGAGCCTGCTCCTTTACACCCCACGTTGCAGCGATGCCTCTCGCATCCCTGTCGACCCCCTGAGATCACCATAAAATTCATTCTGTGACCTTCTCCCTCCCAGCCTGTTCTTCGTCTTCCGAGCCCTTGGTTAGACTGTCCTGTACACTGAGCCCCACTTGTGCCTCTGGACGCTCGGCAGAGGTTCCTGTGCTGGACAAGAATTCTATCAGGGTGATATCATTTCCTCCCTCCCCGTCCTCGTCACTTTTCAGTCAGATCCCTAGCCTAGAGCTGCCTGATAGTGCTTCTGAGGAATATCTGTTGATTCTGGGTCCGCAGGAAGCTCAGCCTGGGAGTATTGAGGGAGGGTCTATTTTGGGGGGCGGTCGGGCAGGGGGGCAAGCACATGTTAACCGCCACCAGGGGCGCTCCCCTTAGATGGCGTGGTTCTCCCTGAGGTCTCCCATGAGACCAGGATTATAACACCCACTTCACAGCCAAAGGAACGAAGGCTTAGAGAGCTTAACCTCCTGCAGCTTACACAACCGGTAAGTAAATAGATGGAATCCAAACCCAGCCCAAAGTCCAGGCCCACATATCAACTCTACACTTGCCAACAGCAGTGCTGTGTAAGTAGCACGGTTGATAGTGAATGTGTGAGTCATGAGCCTGGATCACCTGGGTTATTCCAGGTCACCATGGGAGCTGAGGGTTTATTCTTCTTCCTCACTGAAAACCTGATGCAGACCAGCACCCAGAAACTGTTGTCACCACAGAGTGTGATCCCTGCGACTCGGGTCTGGGGCTGGATGCAGTGAAAGAGGCCCATTTTCCACCAGAGACCATCTTTGGGACTGCGCAACTCCAAGGAGCATCACTGATCATGGGCCCAGGAAGGAAGGCCTTCCTTGGGGCTCTGAGCGTCCCTGGGCCTCAGCCATGCCCGCTCCGAGGGACCGTCTCTCCAGTAGGAGGGTGAGTAGTGCCTCTCCCTTGGACTCAGACTGGACAACTGGAGGCACGGAGTCTGTGATGGCTGAGCCTTGACCCAAAGAGCTCTAGTTAGAAGGAAACAACATGGCAGGGAGGAAAGGGTGAGCTCACCTTCCCAGCTGAGCAAACCTTTTTTGGTGCCTCATCTAGAGTGCAGACCTCCACCAGCATTTGCCAGCCAGCTGCCCCAATCCTTTTAGCCAGGCTGACTTTTGCACCAAAACTATGGAAAGAAAGGCCTCTTAAGTGAGAGGAAGGGAAAAGAAAGCCAGTTAAATGGCCCTGATGAAGGCCATTCTGTTTGAGCTGGAGGCAGACTCAGCAGCCACACCTCATATGCAGAGTGGCCTCAGCTTTAGCTCCTAAGGTCCAAGCCATTGCTCAGGAAGCTGTGTGCTGAGGCAGCTCTTCTAGTTCGAGACCCAGCCCTCCTAGTTTTTGCTTTGGGGGATGGTTTGGGCTTGGGTTTTGCTTTGCTTTGTTTTCTTTCTTCTCGTTTTTGCTGTCTTCAATAGATTTTATTTTTAATTTTTTTAATGCTTATTTATTTTGAGAGAGCGAGAGAGCAAGCAGGGGAGGGGCTGAGAGGAAGATAGAATCCCAAGCAGGCTGTACACCATCAGCACAGAGTCCAATATAGGGCTCGAACCCATGAACAGTGAGATCATGACCTGAGCCGAAATCACGAGTCGGATGCTTAACCAACTGAGCTACCCGGGTGCCTTAATAGATTTTATTTTTAAGAGTAGTTTTAGGTTTGTAGGAAACCAGAGCAGAAAACACAAGAGTTCCCGTACTCCCCCGGAAGAGTTTCCCAAGTTGTTAACATTACTGTGGTATATTTGTTACCACTGATGAAACAGCATTGTACATTATTATTAACCGAGGTCCAGAGTTTACATTAGGGTTCACTCTGTACATTCCATGGGTTTTGACAAATGTATAAAGACATCTATCTACTTCGATCCAAAACTCCTCTGTGCTCTGCCTGTTCATCCCCTCTCCCTGGCAACCACTGGTCTTTCTACTGTCTCCACAGTTTTGCCTTTTCCAGACGCCATATAGTTGGAGTCATACAGTCTGTAGCCTTATCGGGTTGGTTTCTTCTCTTAGCAACCCGTGTTTAAATTTCCTCTCTGTCTCCTCATGGCCTGACAGCTCATTTCTTGGTATTGCTGAATGAGAGTCCGTTGGATGGAATGTATCTGTCCCCCACTGCCCCCGTGGATTGTTACTACGCCCTACCCTTCTCCAGAGTTTCCTTCCACCCCATCTCCAGCTCTGTGCACAAATGTAACATTTCCATCAGATTCTTCCTTCCCTCCCCATTCTTTTCTTTCTTCTCCCACCAGGATTGTTGGAGAAGGGACCCCACTGCGAAGCCACTTTGTTGGAAAAGCCAAGAGGATGTTTAAGAGGATTAAGCACTAGGGAACCGGAAAGCTCCAGGCACCAAGCCGAAGCCCTGGCATCCTCCCTGGGCCTCGCTCACAGGAGCACTGCAGGCGACCAGAGCCCCTCCTCTCCTGCCCCAATGGAACCTTCCTCTCCTGACAACTGTCCCACAGAGGTCCTGTTATCCGAGAGCTCTCATCCTCTCTCTGTGCAGGAGCTGGTCAGTAGGGCTGCCTCTCTCAGTTCTGCCCCACCAGCCTTGTCCTTTACTGTCAGCAGACTTAGTGGGACTGACTAGGAGGCTAGCCAGAAGCCCTCCTGTGCCACAAATAATTGGGCCCAAGCTATGACTCCCTCACTACTGCTTGGAAGATGTCAAGGGAAGCAAAAAGGGCGTGGCCCTCAAGAGAGGGCTGCATTCTTTCAAAGCCAGAGGGAGGTGGTTTTCTTTGTGTTTCTTTGGATCTAACGGTTGGAGTTCTCCTCCCCTGCTCCCACACAGACACCGTCCCACTCGAGGGAGAACCCAGCCTGGCATATGTCTCCACCATTGTGCGATGGGAGGTAAGTGCGCATCACAGGTGACTGTCACAGGGTTTGCTTTCAAAGGAAAGGAATTAATGGCTTCCGCACTGCTCACTTATCTTAAATAATCCTTGCCCTCGCTTATTGGCTCCTTCCTGTCCTAAGCACCTTACACTTTTAACTGCTTTTATTCCTCAGAAGAGTCCAGTGAAGTTGGTACTATTGTTTGTGTGTTCTTTTACAGATGAAGAAACTGAGGCACAGAGTAGGTAAGAGACAAGGGACTCTGGTTTCACAGTGATTAAGGACTACAGTTGGCCTGGGACATGTCAAGCAGACAAGGAAGATTATGGAAAGAAAACAAGTGGCCTTGACAAAGGCAGGTTGAAGTAATGCAAAAGGGACAGGCCAAGGAGCTTCTGCTGTGACATCCTGCTTTCCAGAAACCTCTTGGGAGGCCGAGTAGCCGAGAGTGACTCAGCGTTGGTCTTGCCCCAGCAGCACACAGACTGAGGAAAACAGGTGGGAGAGAGTCAGGGGTGGCCGGGTCCCTCGGCCATCACAGCCCCAAACAGCAAGGACAAGATCTGAAGGCAGCAGGGAGGTGTGGTCTGGGGGGACCCTGGGGCCTTTGGCTGTTGCCTCCAAGGGTGTCTCCAGCTCCTCCCCTTTTATCTGAGCATCTGGGTGGCCAGCTAGGGTTTGGTAACATGGACAATTCAGGCCCATGGGAGCAGTGAAGTTCAAAGGCCTGTAAAAGAGAGCAGCAGAAAAAAAAGCGCTTGCTACTTCGTCTCTGGAGAGTTCTGTCCTTGTGTGACGGTGGTTGCCTATGGATGGGGAAGGAGGGAGAAGCGAGACAGAGATACAGCCTCAGACCTTTCCCATCTGCTTGTGTTTTCCTGAGTTTGGGGCCAAATCACACAAGGCAGGCTTCACTTGCTGCTTTGGGTTGTGGGGATGCTTAATAATAGTGTCTGCTGGGGCGCGTGGCTGAGTCAGTTAAGCAGCCGACTCTTGATTTTGGCTCAGGTTGTGATCTCATGGTTTGTGAGTTTATGCCCCCAGTCGGGCTCTACACTGACAGCATGGAGCCTGCTTGGGATTCTCTCCCTCTCTCTCTCTACCCCTCCCCTGCTCATATTCTGTCTCTCTCCCTCTCTCAAAATAAACTTAAAAAAAAAAAGTGTCTGCTGAGCAAGCTGGGTTCCAGTTAATAGTCTGTGTTGGAATATGGACTTGCCCAGGCACCCTGCTGACTTTCGTTATGATGAATTATTTAATTAAGTGATTATTGTGGAGGGCAGGGAGCAGAAAGGACTCCGGTTTTACTGTGATGAGGGAGTGCAACTGGCTGGCATTGCGTGATAGCATCAGAACCTGTAGCCTTGGACAGAGCCTGACTTGGCAGCTGGAGGAAGGTGTCAGGCTACTGGGCCCAGGCCCACTGTGTTTCCTGTGGTAGTTTCTTTCTTCTGGGTTCTGAGATGT